TATTAAAAGTTACATTTTATTGGGGTTACTCTTTGCATAGAATGGTTTATCTTCTAAATTGTTAACTCTTGTGTTTCTTTTGCTAATAGTTTATTTACAATAACTTTCTTTAACTGCTGTAGCACCTTTCAAAGTTAACCTCTTTTTACGGAGGAATGTGTGTAACAAGGTGCTTTACAAAGTGCAAGTGATTTTCAGGCCGCTCTATACACTTGTGTGGAAATATCCTCTATCCCACTTGACAAAATAGTAGATTTAAATGCGGTGTAAGTAACAGAGACCTACACCTATAAGTGGAGCGCTCAAACTCATATATTGCTTACCAAACGTTATTTCGTATCATGGTACATGAAAAAGAATACAATATAGTGCAGATGTAAAATCCTGTTAGAGAAATGGTATATATAAAGTGACAATGCAATAATAGTGATGTAATCTTAATGGCTGGTACACTCACATTCCCAGGAGCCTGTATATGGAAACACTGGCTCCGTATCAAAGCTTGTGTGCTTATAATGGTAGCACCACCCTTCTACTTCGGTGTGGAGTAATTCTCGAAAACAAAAACAGAGGGAAAGCGTACCAATGTGTGCTTTCGGGAACAATATCTACACATTGGTACGCTTTCCCTCTGTTTTTGTTTTCGAGAATTACTCCACACCGAAGTAGAAGGGTGGTGCTACTATTATAAGCACACAAGCTTTTATACAGAGCCAATGTTTCCATATACAGGCTCCTTGGAATGTGAGTTTACCAGCCATTAAGATTACATCACCATTATTGCATTGTCACTTTATATATACCATCTGCACTATATTGTATTCTTCTGTATTCTTTTTCATGTACCATGATACGAAATAACGTTTGGTAAGCAATATATGAGTTTGAGCGCTCCACTTATAGGTGTAGGTCTCTGTTACTTACACCGCATTTAAATCTGCTGTAGCACCTTGTCTTGAGTCATCCAATCACAAGTTATGCAAATGATTGCTGCAAAAAACTTGCAGATATCATTTGCATATCTCTTGACATAGGACCCTCATTAATATATACTGGAGAAAAAGGCCTCTGATTTGTCCGATTTAAATGCTTTAAATGCCCTTTTCCTATTTTTAATCTCTTGTTTTACTTCTCTACTAAGACACATTGGTTTTAATTTGTTTCTTTTATATTTATTACCCTATGGAACATACTGAGAAATGTACCTTTCTAATATTTGTTTGAAAAGTTTCCATTTATCCTCAGTGTTTTTTTCACTAAGGAGTTTATGCCAGTCGATATGTTATAGAGCTGCCCTAATCTTATTGAAATTGGCTTTTTTAAACTTATATGTTTTAGTATACCCCAAGTGCTTTTGCTTTTTTGAGTTTATTTAAAAAATTACCATATTGTGATTAAAGTTGAGTGGACACCTGGATGTTCGGGTTCGCCAGGTTCGGCCAAACTTCGGCAAAAAGTTTGAGTTCGGGACTCGAACTTGACCTGAACTTTTGGGCAGTAAAACGGCTCTAAAATGGCCCCCACCCCTGCGTGGCAAGTGGGGGCCCTACATAACAATGAGGGGGGACCTACTGTCCTCCCCCCAGCCCCACTCCTTTCGCGGTGGGTGGGGCCCTACATACCAATGGGGGAAACCTACTGTCCTCCCCCCCAGTAACCACCACTGAGCGGTGGGTGGGGGCCCTAAATAAGAATGAGGGGGGGGTCCTACAGTCCTCCCCCCAGCCCCAACCCCTGAGCTGTGGGTGGGGGCCCTAAATAAGAATGACGGGGGGAGACCTACTGTTCTCCCCCGGCTCCCACCCCTGCACAGCGGGTGGGGGCCCTAAATAAGATTGAAATAAATAATCACGTTCTCAAACAGGCTTTTCATCGGGTTTGTAATATTGACAGACACTCCAGCCTTCATTCCACCAAACTGGAATCGCAGTCTAAGGCCCCACGATGCATCGACACTTTTGATCAAGGATTGGGAACCATGTCCAAGATTCTCAAGAGCAATTGGCCAATACTTTTACACAATTTGGTGCTTCAAAATGTTTTACCAGATTACCCACCTCTAACAGCACGCAGACCAACGAATCTACAAGATCAACTTGTACATAGTCATCTGTCTTCCCCCTTACCACACACCAACTGGTTATCAAACCTTAAGATAACCTATAAATGTGGACATTGCAAGGCTTGACAATACATCCTGCCCTCTAAGTCAGCCACATCCACTCAAATTCATAGTAGCATCAATACTAACGCTCTTGTGAACTGCAGCACCACACAAGTGATCTATTTGATCACATGCAGCTGCATAATTCAATCTATCGGCAAAACTTTCCAGCAGTTTAGACGCAGAATTCTGCAAGAAATAACCTCTATCAGTCATACTGTCACTCCTAGCGAGACAAATTCTTAATTTCCACAATGGTAAACCCGACAACTTGCGATTTCAGGCCATCGAAAAATTGCTACCCAATCCAAGAAAGGGTTACTTTAATAAAATCCTGTTAGAGAAATAATCCCAATGGATTTTTTCATTTAAGACCTTAGCTCCTCGAGGCTTGAATGAAGAATTTAATTATACGACATTCATACATCGCTAAACTGGTAACAAACTTGGCCAAGATTGAATTAACTTACTTATGACTTCTTCATCGTGTCAATAAACACTGGGCATGAACATTATCAGTACATAAATCTTTACCGCAAATATTGGCACAAATACTTAGTTACAACATTAAGTACTTATATATTTATTATGTCATTATCGTCCATGACACTTACTATGGAGACATCTTTCTATACCGAAACAAAACTTTTTTTTTTTTTTTACATAGAGACTGCCATCTTAACCTGCAGCCTTTAACTTATCCGAGATGACTCATTGTCAGATTCAGAATTCTCCTTATATCTGCTAGATAACAGCTTAAAGTAATTAATTGCGATTTTAGGTACATATTAACATTAACACCATGGACACAATCGCAAAAATTAATACCATATTCTAACAAAAGTGTCCCTTCAACACATTAATCAATATTTTTACCTAACTTTATATAGCCAATAATAGGCATTACTATTGAAATGGTTTACTATACCTTCATTACTTAGTTTGCCGTGATTTCCTCAATGTATTAGTAATTTTTCACTTATCTTTTTGAGTCTTCCCGGCTCCTGTACCTACACACACACCCCCTAAACTAAAAATGACCAATCACACTTAGGGGCGGGATATTTAAACCTAGCCACTCCGGGGAGTCAGTTGCCCCAGACGAGCCTATAAACCAGGCGAAACGCACGTCGGGCTCGACACTCACCCGATATTCACCTTTGTTTCCCATTGCCCACGGTGCCCTCTATGCAGCTCAGACTTTACCGTCCGCGATATTTTTGTAACTGTACAGGTACCCTGGGAACTCTGTTGGCTGACAGCCACTTTGATTAAATTGGGAAGTGACATACCGATCAGGGTACTATTTTAGCACAGCTAATTAGAACAGCACTTTATTACTATCTGCTCAGCTCTCTACTCTGTTAATAGAACCTTTCTTTTTCAAGCTGTCTCTCTGTTTAAGGTGCCCATGAAGGCACTATTCCTACAACCTTATTCTTTAAATATCTACTTGTAGCGATGGATCTTGAACCCTACTAATACCAGGTAGCCAACTGCATACTAGACGTTGCCAATTAGGGCACTTCTTACCAAGTAATTTAGCCACCTTTCTGCCTGAAAGTACACCTTATAGCTCTAAAGGCATAGTTTATGAATACATTATAAATCTGTCTACTATTAGGCAGTCAAAGAGTATGAATTAATGTATTGTCTATTGAACTAACAAGCTATATTTTGCCTACAAGCTTATCATTGTTAGCCAATTTTATAGCTCTAAGACAAGTCATCTGCATATATAACAGAATCTTATTGCTATCAGGGACCTAAACGTCTGCAACGTGCGCAAGACGTTACTAGCCAGTCTATCGTTTAGTAGACGAACTTCATTTTGCCTTCAAGCTTTTTATTACCAGCCAACTTTATAGCTTTAAGACTTCTGCACACCTACCACAATCCTATTACTATCAGGCAGCCATACGTCTGCTAGACACCTCGAATGAATGCACATCCTTTTTGAATAAGCTATTAGGTGCTTACTTATTATTGCTAGTCAACCGTACAGCTTGAAGACACAACCTCTTGATATTTTTATCAATTCTATCACTAACATGCAGTAGAGATTAGTCCTACTGTCATTCCAATGCGAATATGGCTTCTGACTGTTTACCTGCTTCTTCTAATTAGATCTGCTTCTCACATAGATCTTACAACGCAACTATAGATTGCCGATAATAGCTTTGCTCTAGGCATTTTTCATGAGTCTATGCAATGAATATATACTGAGTTTAGGCTGGTTACCCACTTCGTACATTCAATATTTTTGAGGATATTATATATACTCTTACTATACTGCCAGACACCATCTTCTATTATTGCTATTGCGCAATCTCTATAGAGGCTTCTTACCACCTCTTACTCAGCCTGTATTTTCACTGTTTTGTGTCATTCCCCAGTCCCCTAATTCTTTATATGTGTGCTCTTTGCGTAGACTATGGGTATTGACTCCGTTTGAGTCAGGTAGCTACAGCAAGGGTCTGTGTGTTTACAGTTTGTCTTCTTGGTATTCTCAATAAAGTATCTTCGTGATTTTTAAGAACACCTTTAGTCATAGGGACAGATTGTCCTCTTTTTCTTGTTTGTTTTAATAAAATGTATTTCATATTTGGACACCCATAATATGATGCCTGGTTTTTTTATGATTGAAATCTAAAATGAGGAAGTAATGACTCTGCTCTATTTTTTTTTTCTTCTATTTATTTTGTGCTGCCCCTTCCCTTTTTCATACCATCAGAAGCAAGGAGGTGCGCTGACACAAGACTGCAGAGTGCTTTTGTAACCCAAGATTCTAGCTTGCGACGCAGCCCCGATATGAAAAGAATGAGGGGAGAAACCGGTAGGATCTCGACACCAACGCTTTCACTAGCACCGACGCAAACTGAAACCATGTAAGCGGGGACCCATCTGCGATGTAATAACGATGAAACACCCGAACCAGGCAAAATTCACCCCCAGTATTACGCAATCGGAGCCAAATACCTCTACCATTCTGATCAGTATTTGACCTACGAATATGCAAGACCACAAAACTATCAGCCCAAAGCACATCCATTAACAATAATGGGGCATCCGAACAACAATTGGGGGCTACTAGCTCCCCCACCTGCAAAGCTCAGAAAAAAACAAAAAATGAACACCACCTGGAATAAAAGGCTCTCGCTATCTGACCCGCAAACTCTAGGCAACGCCACCATTAACCGCCATTGCAACGCCATGGAAATCGGCCAACGGCAGTCCGGATGCCTCTGACTCTTCCAGTCACGCAGGACACGCTGCAAGCAAAACTCTTTTGTAATGTCTCGCCATCCCAAAAAAAACAAAACAGGAATGATAGAGCAGACAAAGCTCTTTACACTGCTGCGCAAGAGTGACCCTGCTCGAGTAACCTATTTAAATACTTCAACGTAACCTCAAATTGAGCCGTCTCAGACAACAGCCGCACCAACCCATCCACGAAAGACAACCATCCTGACCATACCGACCTGCATGCCTTCCACATAGAAACAGACAACGAGTCTGACACCAAGGACATCAATCCTCCAAAACTAGGTCCCATAAGTAAGAAGGGCAGAGAAGACCCTCGCAATCCGCACCCAGAGCCGACTCCCGAAAATGGTCCCACTGAAACCGAGAAAGAGTCAGCCACTACATTCAACTCCCCTGGGACATGACGTGCCTGCATCCATACATTATTAAGCTTAGCAGCACCAGATGTCGCAAGAGAGCCATAACTGGAAGAGATGCAGACGATGATCGGTTAATCACATGGACAAAACTCCTATTGTCCATGTGAAAAACTACCACCTGATCCTGAAGATCCTCTCCCTATAATGCCAGAGCTACCACTATGGGAAAAAGTTCCAAAAATGTTAGGTTACGCATAACGTCTAACTCACGCCATTGCGGAGGCCACGCTGCCGACACCACTTACCCCAAAAGAAGGCCCCAAAACCTATAGACCGTGATGCATCCGTAAAGAGGTACAACTCAGAATTGGACTGCTTCCCGCAACCAGCATGACCGCCCACTTTACTTACCCAGGAAGGCACTCCAAACTCTGCGGTTTGGCCATCACCAGAATAAAATGGTGAGCTTCCCTGATCCCAACCGTCACCAATGACAAGTTACAACAAAAGACAGCACCCTGCAAGCAAAAGCCATATGACCCAGCAACACCTGCATTGTCCGCAACTGAACCTTCCGTGCCGACTTTACCAGATTAACTTGCCTCGGCATCACAATGAGCTTTTCATTTGGCAAACCAAAAAAACAAAAAAAACATGTCCACCGTGTTAATTTCTATCCCTAGAAAAAACGGCCTAATGGATGGCCCCTCCGTCTTCTGCTCCGGCACTGGCACGCCAAACAAAGTTGCCACTGAGCGGAACGACGACAATAACTGGGCACACCCCTCACCCTCCCGAGGACTCACAAACAGGATTCCCCTGGAAAGATCGAGGGACGACTGTCATGAGCAACAGCCACAGGCTGCCATCCAATCCAGGACATGCCGCCATCATTTGTCTGAACTGATGGTCGCAACGGAACCAGCTCTGACCCCATAGAACTGATAAGCAACCCAAATAAGGTCCAAATATCCAAACAACGATGGCACTCCAGAAACCGGCTGGTCACTATACGCGCAAAAACCACAAACCCATGTAACCAATTCCCAAACAAATTGGGATTTGTTTACTCACTGAAGCTGCCACGGTAGTCGGCTAAACAGGATAAGCTCCACGAACTCCCATCCAGTCCTGGTCCTCCAACTCCCCCTGGGATCCCGAATCCCATTCTTGGTCCGATTCTGGTCCGCCAGCTGCCATGTCTCCTGGATGCAGGACTCTTTGCAGGCACCGCACCCTGACTCCATCCTGCTTCAAACTCCCCTTGCAGCTGGGCACCAGCCTCCGATACCCTCCTGCGCTGGAATGGCTTTCAGACGTGATCTTCAGCCCTTTCCCAGCTCTCCTGGGGCTCCGACCGCTAACATGCATCCACTTCCGGGTTCCAAGATGGCGGGGCCTGTGACATCAGCACTCCGCGGCACGTGTCCATCACGTACACACCCCCGTGTGACATCCGGCGACTCCAAGCTCTACCCGGATGTCCTGCGTCTCTCCGTCACTTCCGCCCAAGCCGTAAAAGAAGGGGGACCCTGAGAGCGTTCTTTCTGCACAGCCCGTGGCCGCATGCTGGAAACCCGGGATCCTCTGCTTACCACTACGCTGCCAAGTGCAGACAGCCTCCCAATCATCTCGACCTCTGCTTCGCTTCTCCGTCTAACTGGATTTAGTGAAAGGTGAGGAGGAGGCCTGGCCCACCTCTGCCTCCTACCGCTGGCAAGAGATGGACTCTCCACCATCTGCTGCTCCACTCCCAACAGCTCCTGGGGAAGACCGGTTATCACCTCCAACAGGGAACTCGCTCCATTGAAAGCCAGGTAAGCCTGCAGCATCCCAATCATCGCATCTTTGGATACAGCAGCCATAGTGAAGAAGGGGACACTAAGCTAACTAAATTATCTCTCTTTTTGAACAGCAGAAGGGCTAAAGGGAAAAACCTGCTCCAGCCTTTCCTTCTGCGAATGTTGAGTACCCTCCCCTCTACACTCCTTTTTATACCATTCCATCTGTGCAACATTGTATGCCTCTCTATCTCATCCCTTACTGTAGGGCAACAGTCATGCTTCCCCTTCCTTAAATTCCAGGGATCCCTGACCAGAGTTATAGAAAAAACTCACTAAGCACAAGATAAATAATATAATAAAAATAGAACAAAAGAAAGAGCTATGATCAAAAAATAATCAACAATCATAAGAATGTGCCTGTCAGACATTTCATGATAAAATCAAATCCATTTTTGTGGAGATTGACGGAGGTTATTATGAATCCTGTTTATCTGGATCACTGTGAAACGAGTAGACTTTACCATCTTTATGGCATTGTATTATATTATACTAGAGGCACCTAGCCATTCATATCATCACACTTCATCTGGAGGCAGCTGGAAGCAATAGCACTTTATTCAGAAGCAATTTGAGAGACTATACCTGCCTTCCTGATCCACGGAGGGTCTTACAATCAGCTCCGTTTTTGATCATGCTGCATTTTTTTAGCCTACTAAGATTTTATTATCCTCTATTTAGCAAACAGGACTTGTGATTTTTGAGTATTTCCTTAGGGTGTTTACAAATCTTTCTTAACGTTCAGTTCTTTTTAATATGTTGGTTTACTTTTATAGTTCTCTAGTACGTTTATGATGGGGACCAGGCCACCAGCAATCGAGGACATAGAAAGTGTGACAGATTCATCTGTATTGCTGGTTCGTCTGTTTCCCTTTGTTCGCTGGATTTCCTGTTCATATACCCCCATTCGTGTAATTTGCAAACTACCGATTGAAACTACCGAACGAACGACCACCCAGGAGAGGAGTGTGCTGCTGGTTAACCTCTTGGCCCCAATTAGAACGTTGTGGTTAACCGCAGACACCTCTCCATTCCATTCGTACGGGTGGTCGTCGTTCGCATGTCGACCACGAGGCAGCGGCCATTTTGGGACACACGAACGCATAGCGGTGTTCGGTACAAACTGTATGGAACTAAAAACGGACACTTAAACTACCGAACACCGCTGGAAGCTGCTGCCTACCTTCTATTTCGACAAGGCATGCGAACGTCGGTCGTTCGGGAGTTTTTATTCATTCGTATGGACTTTTACCCAGACAGCCGTCCCATGGAGTCATTCGTATACCGAAGGACTGGTGAAAGACTTTGACTCCATGGCGATTCGACTAGATACATCGGATCTGAGCGCTATTCGGTGAAAACATGCACTCAGATCCAGGCTGTCTGGGGATACGTTACACGAACTATATTCATTCGGTATTTCTTCAGTTATGTATTTTAATGTATTTTTATTACTGTAATTTAAAATGGCGATTGTCTCTACCTTGGGAGATAATTAGGTTTCTTCCTAATTATCTCCGGGGTAGAGAAGACGGATTTATGGGTAAGATGGGAAGGGCTATTATTGAAGCCACTGCGATTGGCTACTGTCCAATATGTTTTACAGTCTTCCACAAGGTCCCCTCGGGGAGTGTCCACCTTGTGGAGACCTGCATAAATACCGGGCAGGTAGCCCCCATTAAACAGATCTTCATTTGACCCTCAAGACGGAGCTTGGTCTCGTTTGTGGGGGGAATTATTACTGGGACAGCGCTTTCGTTATTTTTAGCTGTGGAAGGCGTTCGACTGTTTTGCTGATCGGGAGTTGCCGTGTTCGTGGACTTCGTTCGGGAGTTTGGCGGTCGGCTGGATTTAAACTGCATTTCTGGAGAAGGGGATTATTCACTAAACGGCGGCTTCATCTACCCGACGGTACGTGTCGTAACAGAGAGGTTTGCTAGGATATACCTCTCTATTCCTGGATACAGGCCACGGACACATTAAAGTAAGCATGTCAAACTCAAAGGCTAGCACAGGCCACACAAACAAGGTTTAAGCTTATGTGGACAAAACTGGTTTATAAATAAATATATTTATATTTTATACTTCGGTTCCTGCTCTTTCCTGGTTCCTGAGGTCGGGGATACTTACTATACCCCCCTAAAGGATTAGGGGTGGCACCCAGAAGGCACTTTGGCTATCTACACTTTGTGAGTGCATCCAATAGCGTGTCATTATACATGCCCAAAATAGTCTTACACTATGTATTGTTAATTTCTTTTTAGGTACAGACAGCGTTTTCCCTTATTTTATTTTGTACATATGCTAATCCAGGCATCCACGTGGGAAGGTTGCTAAGGGAAGCTGTTATTAAGTTAAGTTACACTGTTATTATTTTTATATATTTTGTATTTGGTGTATTTTGTACCACTTAAGTTTATGTAGGCCACAAAAAAAACCAAAACCTTAAATTTTCATAGAAACGTAGGTTTGTTTTGAAAAGTACAGTATAAAAAAAACAGCATCCCCCTTAACTAAACCCCAGTCCGCCCCTCTACCAATTCACAGTCCTCATCACTAAAGAGGATGCGCACGAGGGACCTCTTCTGCTGCCGGGACCTCTCC